GATATCACAGCTGGTGTATCTCCAATGTGTTAAATAAAAATTAATAATTTGTTATTACATGTTTGACATAACATAACATAACATCACGCCTATTATCCCCAAAGGGGTAGGCAAAGGTGCACATTATGCTACTGTACAATGTAACACCCACTTTTCACTATTTATGTTATGAGTCCCATGTAATAGAGGGTGAGCCTATTGCCATATAACCGGCACAATTCCAGACTCCGTGCTACTACTGAGAATTTCTATAAAAACCCAGTAATACTTTGCTCGACTCGGGAATCAAACCCGAGACTCCTTGCCCAGCAGTCGCACCTGCAACCACTCGGCCAACGAGGCAGTCATATTTGACATGGGATGGCAAATACAGGTTTTGATAAGTCAAAGTCAAAATCATTTATTTCAATTAGACCAGAAAGGTACTTTTGAATGTCAACAAAAAATTTAAAGTGAAGCTATTTGATTATCCCAAGGTGTAGTGTACTGTAATTGAATTTCCTATGCTTACTAGAGAAATGCTTTCTACACATAATTATTATGGGGATTATAGCAGTCTGGCAAACCCTATAAGAGGAATGTGTTTGTTTAACAGTCAATAAATCAAAAAACCAAGTGTTTTGTCCTTTTTAGTTACTAACAACTAAAACTACCACAAAATTCAGTTCAACGGCCCAATAATCTGCCGTCACCATTCGACACTGGCAGCATAGTCCACTGTATTGGAGACTCCGTTGCCAAAAAGAAAAAAAAAATCTAATGTCACATTAGTTACACTTTTATAACTCAAGAACAACTAAATCAATTTGCATGAAAATTGGTGGGGAAGTAGCTTAGAACCATGGAACGGACATAGGAGACTTTTTATCCAATACTTTTTTACTTTTTACAGAAAATCATGGACCGGAAATGGGAAAAAATGGTAGGTATTGCATGTATTAAGTCGCGGGCAGAAGCTAGTTATAGCTAAAGATGAGGTAATACATGAGATTAATATGGATATCTGGCAAACAAATAAAAATTTGTACTTTAGAATTTAACTTCCCACAAACAGAATTACTTTTTTATTGTACCCAATGTATAGTAAGTAATTCTAATGAGTAAAAAAAAATTATTAATATTGAGGTAACAAAACATTAGACCAGTACCTATCGATATAGGTACTACTACACAATGCTAAATAAAGACTAAATTTCCAGGTCCTATCTGAAAATAGAAAACTAACTCTCTTATTTCATGATCAGCATTTAATATGTTGATATATCATACACAAATTCCCAAAATTTATTCACAGAAAAGTAGTCTCTAAATATCGGAAATATGATGATGATGGATCTCTATGATGGAGTTAGTGGAAAATGGTAACCGGTGATTGATCAGTTAAGCCACTATTGACAATGAGAACATCAACATCAATGCAGCAGCTCCACAGATCATAAAACTAAAAATTCCATTTGACTCAAAATAATTTCAACTGAAAGCTTAATTTTAGTTTTCACACATGGAATATAACTCATAATCCTGGCACATCACATCAAAAGAAAAAAAAGTCTAGCAAACTTTAAAAAAAAAAGGTTGCAATGTTTATTTAACAAAGTCTATGGTTTGCAGATATTACTTTACTGCAGTCACCTTTTGACCTTAGGTTATCTTAAAACAAGTCCATTATAAGAGATAAAAACTGCCCTTGTGTATTACTAATAAAATATTTATGTAATAGGTACATACAAGAATAATTTAATTTAAATTATGTGGTATAGAAAAACTTTGCCTACCAATTTGGATAGCAAAAAATGTATGAAAAAACTTATAATCACTTCCTTGTACAAGCCTCATATATAAGTATTAAGTTGTTAGACATTTTTTACGCAAAATGCTCAACAAAAACATTTTTTTCTACTGAGCAGATTCTATCTATGAATTTCCACTTTGACATATTGACATTCATTTTCGCTTGCAATCTGGATGGACAAGGCAAGTTATTTATACAGCCTACACAGGTATTCAGCCCATACCTGTATCGGTATCTAATCACACGGTTTATTGTTATTCCTGTGGGGTTAAACAAGGGTAGAAAGGCGCACCTCTGATACACGACACTCCTTCACCGCAAAATTAATTAATTCCGTCGCCAAAACTATTTACAGTTTATTACTTTTTGCACTCGCGACATTTTCCAATATTAAAAATATAGAACACGCAACTTTCGCTCTTACGGGAGTTTCGTGCGTTATAGGAACACCACTCATTATCGATTAAATACAACGGTATTTATGAAGTAAACTGTCCGCCTGTCTATCCCGAATGACGCGCAAACTCCTGTACAATCTATTCGTAACGTGATTCATTTGAGTTTTACTTAGAAAACTACGAAAGTATCCCGAAAAAAATAACTAAAATTAATAAGACATTACGCTAGAAAGGAACAGATATGGTAACCCGGCCGATTTGAATGGACTGCGACGCGATGCAGACGTCGCAGCGTTACGTCACTTTCACACGCAGCCGGATTATACACAAGCGAGACAGAGACAGGTCCCAGCAATCCCACCCACTTATAATCGATTTTTATTCAAGCAAAAGACATTTTTCCTCAAATAAATACACATATTTACAAATAAAACACATTGCTATCTTTTATAATGACCGCCTACGCAAATGCGAGTGTTGAAAAAAAAACACAAATACTCACCGTGAAAATTTTCACGACTGATCCCGTCTGACAAGGAACAAATTTAGATACGCTCGAAATTCACACAATAAACACTTTACAACAATAGCGATACGCTAAATAAAATTATTACAGTTTTGCGAAGGATCTAGCGAAGTCCTTCAGCGGTTTCCGCGACATATTTTTTATGTTTTCCAGTAATTTTTAACTGGGGACTAGCATCGATCGCGTAGCCATGACAGATACATTTTCAACTAAATGAAGTTAGCCGCGGTCGCTCAGCTGACGGACAAGTTTTTTTTTCTGGTTGACGCAGTGAAGTGAGCGGGTATCGGTGTAAGGAGGTTAGTGACCTATGCGGTGTAAAATTAGGGTTCCGCATGAAAATGACACGAGCAGTGCAATGTATGGTTTGCAGGTGACATTTTCTGCAAAATTAGCATTTGACTTTTCAAGTTTTGGTAATTGATTTTTTTTTCACACAAATAACAATATTATTGTTTTCATTTTTGGATTGTCAATATTTTTTTACTGTTATTTTTCTAATAAACTAATGTAGTATGACGTTATACCGTTGATATTAGTATGATGAATAGGTGTCTAATGTGATTCATTTAGTGAAATATTGTGATTTGGAATGGAAAGGCCTATGATAAGTTGTGGTCAACAGCTCGTTGCAGGACCTAGGTACTCTTTTAGTAATCCAGACTTGGATATTTTTATTTAATTGGCGTTTATTCATTAAGCTACAAAGTGAAAAATTACTTGAATTATATTTCAAAATACCTGTAATATAATTCTAGTATTTTTTTTTATTCAGAGAGAATACCATGATCCCAAAAAAGGAGAAAAACCTACATCAAACCGTCGTAAAAGGCTTAAATTCTGACCTAAATCATTTAAAAGTAGCGGAGAGCCTAATGGGTTACCGGGGCTCCGGCTCGACGTGCAGGAGAAGGAACGGGGTGGTTTTTAGTCAACGTAAGAGTCTAACACTCCCTTCCGCCTCACCCAGGCGGGAGCAGTCATTCGATGACATTCCCTCCTTAAAAAAAATCATTAAAAACAAATTCCCTTAGCAATAAGGGCGATATTAGCCTGATTTTTACATTAAAATAAGAATCGAATTATTTACGGTTTTCTGAACAAAGTACTTTTTGTGAAGTTACTGAACTGATCGGCTAAGAGACACTTAATGCGCATGTCCAGGGCCTAATATAGGTATCTAGGTAAACCTTGACCTAGATTTTAATACCTAAGTGCCGATAGCCGGCGAATTTAGGCTGTTGATAGTGCCTACTTAATTAGTGTAACTGTAATCCGATATGTTATTTCTGATTGTTAAACTGAAAGTTATTTGGGACCTAGGTTCGTCTTGTGACTGACATAACGATGACGATTACGTATTTCGGCGTCAAAATAACGACAGAAACTTGAACACTTATTGAAAATCCTTATATCTCGCATGGAAAATAACCGGATCATTTATTGAACAATTTTTTATCAAGCTATTCCCTAAAAATTACTCTTTACTTTCCTTTTCTGAGACATTTTATGCGAAGACTGGATGGACCATAATCGTGTCGTTTGGATTTGGTCGTTAACACGTGACTGAAACCGCCATCTATTTTGAATTTGACAGCTGCCATAAACTCGACTGATGAAAACGGCGGGAACAAGCAAAACAGCCTTATTACTGTCATCACTATCACAACTTTCTTTGGACAGATGGCGCTACGTTATAGAAAAACAAGTGGGAAAGTCATGTTTCGCCACGAAACTTGGCATCTTCGACCGGAGTGATGCCACGGCCTCATCGGAAACCGGTGTAAAACAATGGCTACTACTACTGGAGGCCCGACCCCGCCGAAAGGTCGACAACGTATTTGTAAATCCTCTAGTTTTGGTGGGACAAGAAATATAGGTGTTAAAAGTGCGTTACCGGCCTTTTGGGGATTAGGAATTTGAGGATTGTTTGGGATTCGGAGATTCTGTTCGGTTCGGGGATCGGGGAGATCGGGGAGAGGGGTAATTGGGTCTCCGACAATCTCATTCACACCACGAAACACAACGCTAGCGTTGTGTCACGTCGGTTTTCTATGACGCCGTGATATCACACCGGGCGAGCCAACCCATTCGTGTCGAAACACGGTTCTCTCACACTTAACATTTCCTTAGCCAGGATGTTTTTTTATTTCTTATTCTCGAACGCTTCTCATGAACTTGAGTCCTGATATGTCTTGAAACTAGTAGAGCGTTTCGATAATGGTTCACTATTTAAATTAATTTAGTACGTCTCAAGTTGTTATTGAATATACAAATATCTTACCATGGTATTATAGAAGGCGCCCAATCAAGTTGGACCCTCCTAGGCGCCACCAGCGACATCTTCTCTCCTTGTGTTTCAGCCACACTCGATATAAATCTATCTCTTTCGCACTAACACTTTGACTGTGAAACTGTTTTTCGTCGAAATGCCATTTATTTTCGATTGTTTGTTACTTATTATTAATATTTAAATGCGTTTAATTAATCATTGATGTCTATTCAAAAAGTACCGTTTTTTTGGTAAGGATTATAACGTTTTCTTGATATTCTGTCATACCTGAAACAAAAAAAAAACAACATTGCTATCAAAATATTAAAACGAAAATAACTAATAAGCATTAAATAAATTTGTAGGAAATAGGAATAAACGCAATAATTTTGGACCTAGATAAAGAATGTGCCATTTTTTACAACATATTCGGGGCAACCTCCTCGGAAATGATTTCACAAATGAAAATTCAAAGGTTTACAAGTTTAAGACAGGCTATTCAAACTTCTTTTTCCGCACACGAATATTTTATAGTAAAGATAAAGATAAAGATAAAGATAAAGATAAAGATAGTTTATTTGCAAATATGGGTAATACAATATGTGGTGTTTAGGTACATTGCGAGCTCAACCATATTTTACCAGGAGGCATGCAAATATGAATTAACAGATAATTAAAAGAATAAAATTATATAAAATAAAATCAATATTATGCAATGTACTTATTAAATTGATTACAGAAATTAAAATAGTCGCATTAACAAAATATAGGTACGATGTCAAAAGATTAAAGTTAAGAAATGTCATAGTAAAATAGATGAGATGTCCAAGTTATTTAGTACCTATTTAAAATATTATTCTATTCCATTGTCCATTAGAAAATCTGCAACATTGTAATATGCCTTGTCAACTAATAATTTTCTCAATTTGTTTTTTAATATTGACATACTCAAATTTCTCCAGGATTTAGGTAATTTATTAAAGATTTTAGGTGCCATGCAACAGACACTTTTGCCCATTAGTGTTGTCTTCGCTCTTTGAAGACATAGTTGACTATCGTCTCGTCTACTTCGTGCTACTACGTCGTTCATTTTCTTAAAATAATGTGGATTTGACTTGACAAACATAGCCATTTCCATTATATAAATACACGGTAATGTTAAAATGTTAAGTTCTTTAAAATACGGGTAACAACTATCAGTAGTGTTTAGTTTATACATTGACCGAATGCACCTTTTTTGGGCCTTGAATGCCATATCTTTGTCGGTTGAATTACCCCAGAATATAACCCCGTAACGAAGATGGGATTCAGCTAAACCGTAGTAGGCGGTAAGAAGCGCTTCCTTAGAAACCTTCAACGATAATGCATGTAAGGCATATGCGGATTTACTTAGTTTCTTGCAAACCTTGACTACATGTGATTTCCAGTTCAGATTTTGATCTATTTCCAAACCCAAAAATTTAGTGCTTGCAACTTTATCCACTACTTTATTGTTATAATTCACGTTGAGGTTTTTACTGGGTATTCTTTGGCTAAAATGCATTACGCTTGTTTTTGTTAGATTAATTTTTAAGTTATTGTTATTTAACCATGTTATGACTGTCGCTAGAGCATTATTAATATCATTTTCATATAATTTAGGATCAATGCAGGGTATAGTTATGGTACTATCGTCGGCAAACAGAGTTAATGGTTGACCAACGTGTTTCGGAAGGTCATTTATATACAATATAAAAAGTAACGGCCCCAGAACGCTCCCCTGTGGTACTCCGTATCTAACTTCACGTTCAGACGACCGAAAAGTTTCTTCGTAATTATTTTCATTCATTCTACATATTTCAGTTATTTGTTTTCTGTTACGTAAATAAGATTCTATTAAGCTTAGAGTGTTCCCTCTAATACCATAGGCTTCAAGTTTATTCACGAGTGTATCAAAGTGTACATAATCAAACGCTTGTGTCATGTCGCAGTAAATGGCACATACCGGTTTACGTTCATCTACATGCTTTATGACGCCCCTTATAAAATCAAATATTGCCATATTAATTGATTTACCCTGTCTAAATCCTTTCTGTTCGTAGCACAATAACTTGTTTTTTTCTAAATATTTATAAGTCTCTATATATATATATTTTTCAAATATTTTCGATATAATTGGAATAAGCGCAATAGGCCTATAATATTCCATGAGTTCCCTATTTTCCTTTTTAAATATAATAGTCTGATGACAAAATAAATAAAACGTTTAAAGTAGAGCTATAAAATGAATTCTTTTTTATTCACGGTATTACAATGTCACGTAAATAATTCTAACGCGAATTTTGTCTGGGAATAGTCTACAGTTTCTTTTTTTTTTAAAAAAAGAAAAGGTGAAAAGCTTTCTGATAAAAAAGTGACAAGCAATTACATATGTCAATGTCACTATGACATTAGAAAAGGCGCCAAAAAATTGTGCTGCGAACGAAATTATAATTCACATGATACAATGTAATATTTTAATTTAATAGGTTTTGGCTGCGAATACGAAAAATGCATATTAATACCACTAATCTAGTGATACTTACGATGTCAAAATAATATTAGAAAAGCTTTTACAAGTTGACCTGTTACTGAAAACAAGGTTCATGGAAACAGGGTTCATTTAATAATGGATTTGAAATACTATTTACAGAGTGCTTGTTTTAATGTATTTAGCGTTACACAGACGTACTTTGATTAAGGTCACCTTAGAAAATAGGAAACATTAATTTTTTATAATACATTTCGTCCATATTCCCACTTATTGTGTGTAGATAATTATTTTAAAACGCGATTTTTTCAGCAATTTTCGTTTATGGATGAAACAAACAAACTCTCGTCAAACTTCAAGATATTTAGGACAATATATAAATATTTGGGACGAACTATTTCTTAGCTTCGGTCTCCAGCAGGTAACTCCTACGCGAAACACAAATAGCCAGCGACTACAAACGAATTTGAAATGCTCTTGTCAAAATTACAAAATGGTGTTCAGTTTAATTTTTGCGTTGTTTTCTTGAGTTTAATATGTTATTTATACAAATAAATGGACTATAAACATAAAGGGATATAATATTTTTTTTGTATTCGTGATTATAAACGTAAAGAAGTCTTTAATAAAATTAATTTGTGTATTATATGCTAAGCGCCTGTTAATCCCTAGAACGCAAATGATTGCATTACCTAAAATATTAGGCGCTTAATTTTATTTATTTTTTTAACTTTTCAGTTTTAAATTCTTATTCAAACTCTACAATAGATAATTAACCTTATAATAAAATATTTAAATTGCCAATCTATAAGCAATTTAGTATACTTTCGTGAGTTGGTGTTGTCCGTTCTTACGTAGCTGCTCATTTAACAAGCCTAAAATAAAATGTGACAGCGAGATCGTTAAGCTAATTTTTTCTGTGTAATATTTACAACAAACATGTTGTTGTGAACCACACATTACATTCAAAATGTTTTCGCAGAAAACTTATTTTTGAAAATACGAACTTAAATACTTTTTTGCGCAGTGATGTTGCGTGGTAATCGCTAACATTTATGGGATATAAGAAAGTGTATTTTTAAATGAAAATAAACAAAATAACTCGTGCCGCGGAGGTTTTTTTTTTAAGGGGGGTAAATCATCGAATGACTGCTCCCGCCTGGGTGAGGCGGAAGGGAGTGTCAGACTCTTACTGACTAAAAACCACTCCGTTCCTTTTCCTGCACGTCGAGCCGGAGCCCCGGTTACCCGGTTAGGTTCTCCGCGACAAGGTTTAAGACGCCTACCTCGCATACATGAGAGTGCGTGTTCGAAGCCTACCAACGGCAAGTACTAATGTGACTATTTTCGAGTTATATGTACTTTCTAAGATTATTTAAACACCACTGACAAACGGTGTAAAAAAAGTGTGGGAGAGCCATACTTCGGCACGAATGGGCCGGCTCGACCGGAATGATACCACGTCCGAGCAGAAAACCGACGTGAAGCAACGCTTGCGTTGGGTTTCGTCATGTGAGTGAGGTAACCGGAGGCCCAATTACCCTCCCCTTCCCCAATCTCCCCAATCCCTGAATCTGTTTACCGGATTATGCCATAAAAAAAAACACGAGGGCTTATAATTTTTATTTAGGCATAAGGTTGAAATCGCCAACCCGCATTGAGCAAGTGTGGTGATTAATGTTCGTGGTAGATATCCCGAAGCGAACGAAGCGTGAGTGGAATTATTTACCAAAAGTCTGTGTTTCCTGAAGGGTATAACCTGGGTGTCTTCAAGGCCCGAGTGAATAGGTTGCTTATGGGACGACGTGCTCCATCGTAGACCGCATCATCGCTTAACATCAACGTTAGCCCATCAAATATAAAAAGGGTTAAAGTTTATTAGAGAGCGTTGCTCCAGCCACCGTCAAATGTGTAGCCTAGAAGTCGTAAGAGAAGAACTATTGGTCTACTCTGCTGTTACTGTACGGCACAATAAACCACTTACAGACTTAGTGCCCTCAGTGATATTGAATGATAGTTAAACTATTCCCTAGTAACGATATTGTTTCGAAAACAATTGGATTCTTTCCTTAATCAACAAAAAAATATATATATTTTGATTAATTTATTATGTTTTCGGCTTACTGACGTAGTAATTTGACGAGGAACTCGACTAGTTTCAAGCCATGCTAGAGGCTTATATTCATTCATCTCTCTCTCACGAAAGTTACAATACAAATATATATTTTGACTGTTCATAACATAACATCACGCCTTTTATCCCTGAAGGGCTGTAGGCAGAGGTGCACACTATGCCACTATACAATGTACCACCCAATTTTCACTATTTATGTTATGAGTCCCATGTAATAGGGGGTGAGCCTATTGACTGTTCAATACAACATAATATTATATTTTATTAAATTTCAAGCCAATTTTTAAGAAATTAGTACGCTGTTTGACGCTTAAAAAACGTGACGTCACAATACACAATCTCGTACAAAATTCATAAATTAACTGTCGTTTTTGACAGTTCGAAAATAGTATTGAATTTGACTAGTTGGCGAGTACCCAATTGCTAAGGACTGGGTTAAGTAAGTGTTAAATGAGTCTGAGTACGACGATTATTTACATCTAATTTAAAACAACAAAACAGTCCTTGACCCTTTACGATTATAGTATAAAGTTTACTTTAATCCGATACAATATATTGTACACATCAAACTGTATACCAGTATAAATTGACCTGTGACAGTGCGAAGAGATCATTCAAAGCGGGATCAAGATACATTGGTAACCTATATCTTGATATACCGATAAAAACCAGTATAAATTGACCGTTGAATGTACGAAGAGATCATACAGAGCTGGATCTAGATAAATTGGTTGTGTGTAGCCTGACGTGCCGTTAGATGTACATAATACAAGCCAGATTCGAGTATTGACTGATAAGAATCAGATCCAAACACACAAGGCTATGAGTTGGCAGACATATTGTATCATAATTAGGTCACATTGTTTCGATTCTGTTGAAAGATTGGTATTATGAAGAGAATAGGGATAGGGTATGAAAATTAAAAATATAATTAGTCCTTAAGTTAGGTAATGAAAAAATATTAGACACGTATTTTTTATTTTGTCGTATAATAAAATAAAACGAATCAAAGAAAATAAAAAAATACGTGTCTAATGTTTAAAAATAACGTACCAGATCGTCCTCAATTTTTTTTTTGAGGTGGGAAAATCATCGAATGACTGCTCTCGCCCGGGTGAGGCGGGAGGGAGTGTCAGACTCTTACTGACTAAAACCACCCCGTTCCTACTCCTGCACTTCGAGTCGGTGCCCCGGCAACCCGTTAAGTCTTCCGCGGCTTCGCTACCAGATTGTCTGCTACCCTAATTCATAGGCCTCTCCCTAATTCATAGCACATCAAAGTTATACTTAATGGGGTAATCCGGCAAACGTCTAAACAGATCACCTGACGGTAAGCAATCAGTAGCGTCGCCGATGGACACCTGGAACACCAGAGGAGTGACAAGTGCGTTACCGACCTTTTGGGGGGGAATTGGAGATGGGGAGATGGATTGAGCCTCCACTATCCTCACACACACGACGAATCACAACACTATGCCTGTGTCACGCCGCTTCACCCGTCTATAAGTGCTCACTGTTGAGCAAAGGCCTCTTCTTACACGGAGAAGGAAGCACCAATCACCATCGCTTGCTTGGGTCGGATTCAAATGTCAGCAACGCACTAGTAACTCCTCTCGTTGCGAGTATTCATGGGCGACGCTGATTGCTTACCATCAGGTGAATCGTCTACTCGTTTGTCGACCATAAAATTATATTTGGTACTTATATCTTCATTTGCTGTTAGTCAATAGATATGTGTGTAACGTTAGCTATGTTATATATGTACAATCATTTAATTCTGAGTATTTGGCATGTGACTTTGAATAGTTTCATGTCAGTTAACGAGGAAGTTTAAACTAGATTATTTGTTTGCCAATTAAAAATAGAGTTATTTAATTTAAGAATGCTTATGTGGGGTGGCCCGGAGGTTTAAGAAATGTCGAGGTGGCCCGTAGGTTTAAGACGACCGCTTCTCATGCATAAGGGCGCGGGTTCGAAACCTATCAACGGCAAGTACCAATGTGACTTTTTCCGAGTTGTATATACTTTCTAAGATTACCTAGACACCACTGACAAACGGTGAAGGAAAACTTCGTGAGGAAACCTGGGCTTATAATTTGTAATTGTAAGTTTGAAATCGCCAACCCGCATTGAGCAAGCATGGTGATTAATGCTCAAACCTCCTCCGTGTGAGAAGAGGCTTTGCTCAGCAGTGAGTATTTATAGGCTGTTGATGATGATGATGATATGTGTAAAGCTAATATTACTTACGAATTTTAATAAAACTGAAAAATACTCAAAACTTTGCCTGATGTTGGTTAAATACTCTATGGCCTGATGTGTTTTTTTTTTACTAGAACAATGACTTCATTAAAGTTCAAATCTCAAAAAATAAACTATAAACAACAAAAGAAATAAAAAATAAAAATAGAACAAAGACAATTTAACATTCAAATCTAAATAATCTTTAGAAGTCATAGAAAACAATAAATCTATTTATTATCGTTTTTATTTCATAGATAAGTTTTTAAACGTACTCAAATAATGTTTGACAGTTCTATTCAAAATGGCCGCCTATGTCAGTTGTCAAACGTAAAGCTATACAATTCCAGTTTATTAAGGTCTCCCTTTGTTCGGTCAGTCTGCACATTAATCGGTCAGATTATACTGGTTTCTCACAGCTTTATGTGAAGCCGTCTACAAAATAATAAATTAAAAATAATTGCTGTTAAAAACATGACAGACAAATATCTTGATTTCGGGAGACAGACTGACTCAGAAATATTTTATTGTATTTTTATTTTTTTCTTTAATCTTTCGTCGTGTCAATGAACCGTGACGATTTTAAAGATGGCAAAAGCCCGCGAATCGGTTTTGGGGAATCGCTGTATTTTTGGAACTTTGTGTATTTAGCCAGCGGTTTTTTGGTTGTGGTTGGTTGTGGTAGTCACACATAAGTACTTAGGTCTATATGTTTGTATATGATAGAATAAAAAGGAGGATTAATAAGAATTTTCCAATAGCAAATTGCGTACTTGCCAACTAGTCAAATTCAATACTTTTTTCGAACTGTCAAAAACGACAGTTTTCTATGAATTTTTTTTCCGAGATTGTGTATTGTGACGTCACGTTTTTTAGCGTCAATCAGCATACTTATTTCTTAAAAATGCTGGAAAAATACAAATATTAAGTTGCTTATAAAATCAATTAATGAAAGTGCGATTATTTTTTAATATTTTATTTGAACAGTCGAAATACCTAATTTATTTTTGATCAAGTACAGTACCCGATTACCTACCAATGCTGCTCTTTCTGTGTTGATATTAAACATGACATTAATATAATAAATGTAAACATTTCTTTGTTTGTATATTTATCCGTCAATCACGCTGAAACTACTGAACGGATTTTAATCCCGATTAAATTCTCCTATGGGATAAAACACGAACCATATTCTACGCGGGCGAAGTCGCGGGCAACAGCACATTATAAATGAAGGCACTAGATAAGGCATTGTAGACACGATTAGGCATAATGTTCTAGTTGTAGTAGTTAACTCGGTACATTGATTAGTAGTGAAGATGCAGTTGATGTAGTGTAGCGAAACAAGTTTCACCCAGTTGTACTAAGTAGTTAGTTTATTGCAATTTTTCAAGTGAAACAAGTGAATTTATTTCTGCAAGTAGGCTACAAGGCAGCACTTTTACACGTCAATTTTATCAAGCGAACGATGAGGTCGAAATTTCCTAACTGACTACTCTGAGAAGAAATGCCGAAACAAACTCAGAGGTCTGTCTCTTTTAAAGTCCAGACAATATGTATAACAGATTATGTGTGAGAACCGTGCAAGTTCTTTCTGTAGTGGCCTTTTGAGGAAAGAAAATTAAATTACAATATGAATGAAAGGCGATTATTACTCTCAGTTGTTGATAGCTACCAAGTTATAAGTTGACTATATTTTAATTCGTTAATCACGTTGTTTTATTACGATAAATTGTACGCGTGTCATTAGCCTAAAGTAGGTTGCCGCGTAAACAGAAAAATATGTGCGATGGTGAAACCGTACCTACACATAAAATAACAGAACCAATTATAAAAAAAATATAGTTATTATTATCAAATCTTTATGCTAAACATTTGCGTCAAACCATTATCATTTGCGACGCTGTTTTTCTTAGGTATTACTTAAACAGTTCAAGAAACAAAAACACAATGACAGTACGATCAAACAAAAATCTTATTGAAATACATAACATAACAAAATGACACCTTTTATCCCCGAAGGTTTGCTTTTTTTTTAATGAGGGAAAATCATCGAATGACTGCTCCCGCCTGGGTGAGGCGGGAGGGAGTGTCAGACTCTTACTGAATAAAAATCACCCCGTTCCTTCTCCTGCACCTCGAGCCGGAGCCCCGGTTACCCGTTAGGTTCTCCGCGACAAGAGGTGCACAATTTGCCACTATACAATGTAACACCCACTTTTCACTATTTATGTTATGAGTCCCATGTAATAGGGGGTGAGAATATTGCCATATACCGGGCGCAATTCCAGACTCTGTGCTACTACTGAGATTTTTATAAAAACCCAGTATTACTTTGCCTGACCCGGGAATCGAACCCGAGACCCCTTGCCCGGCAGTCGCACTTACGACCACTCGGCCAACGAGGTAATATTGAAATACGTATTCAACCAAATACCTTACAACATCATGCCTTTCATTCCCCGAAGGTAAAAACAGAGGTCCTTTATTTTATTTATTCTTCGTAATACCAAATTTTCACCAGTTACAAATAGGGATGATGACAGGGTATGAAAATTAAAAATGTAATTAGTCCGTAAGTTAGGTAATGAAAAAATATTAGACACGTATTTCTTTATTTTGTCGTATAATAAAAACAATACTTAGACAAATCGAATTAAAGTTTAGGAGTGGGAGCTAAAACGTCATTTCTACATAAAATGTAATAGAAGTGACGTCACGCGACATTTCAAATCAATATATCGTCGAAAGTATTCGTTTCTGTAAGAAAATAAAAAATACGTGTCGAACAGACGAACATTAAAATAAAAATTAGGCATCTACCCTATTATAAGACCCATATATGTTCCTACACACCAAATTTCGTGCTAATGCTGTCGAAAACCGATAATCTTAATATTACTTTACCCGACTCGAAAATCATACCAAAAATTCTTTATGTACTTAACAAGTTATACCAAAAAATACCTTTTTAATTCAGCGCTAGTAGCCTGTAAACTCGATTATACACAAAATAGGTGACATTTCTAGCAATAATAAAATCTATATGATTAAACCGCTTATACGGTATTCTGTATAAATCTATAACACTATTTAATCTTTTATATAACCTTTTCACATCACTAGGATGAGCCAACCAATCAGAATCGCTGTAGAACATCGCAATCGGAACTAATATGTTTTCTAAAGCGTAACTAGGGGGTATCGGAACGCCATATCGAAGTATATTCTCTTCCTCGCCATAGTCATATTTTCTGAAGTCATTTGACAAGAGCAGCTGCCCATAATGGGCTAACTGCTTGATAGAAGCACCAGCAGGCACATGACCCATGACCACAGGCAAATTAGTCACATTCAGTTGATAAAAATCATACCCTGAAGTTAAAAACGCGGCGTTACTGCATAAGATGTCCCCTATCGGTCCTGTACCACATATCATGAGCTTTAGGATCCTAACTAAACTGTGGTCTGGTAGAAATTCGTGTACTCCAAGACTTTTGGCGAATTGTGATAGCATGTTTGTTCCAGGAGACAGCAGACGAACGACGGGAGATTTCGCGCGACCAATGTAAGCTACAGGCGATAAAGCGATCATCACTGAAATTTTTTCATTGTATTCAGGTCGTTCAGACATCATGACGAAAAATGATGTTGTTCCTTGTGAATATCCGACGTATTTAATAGATGGTTGTTCAGTTACATTCAATACGTAATCTATCATAGCTGGTAGATCGTAAACGCCAATTTCATGCCAGGAAAAGTCCCAAAATCTTTCGTCCGTTGGATCAAAAACTGCATGTTTTCTTGAATGCTTGTTTCCTCTTGCGTTGCCCAACCAGACATCGTAGCCTAAGTCAGCTAGTTTGTAAGCTAGACCGCTTTCCACTCCAGCTAATATGAAGTCATCTGAACTGCCTAAGAGACCATGCATTAGGAAAACAGAGGCTCTGTTATTAGGGATCCTATGTATCGTCAACACATACTCATCTTCAGTAATAACTTTATGTACTTCGCAGGCGTAATTATACTTATTCAGTAACTCTTCTATGTTCAATTTCGCGTCCTCATTGTATATGGATTCTCTAAATTTCTTTACAAATAATTCCACTTTATCCCCGTCGTTATTTGAGTTCACTAAAGAAGGCACGTAGCCTAAAGTTTTGGCGATGATCTGCGGTATCCATGCAACAGAATTGACGGCTGCTGATAAAACATTCGCGAATTCCAATGTGGTAAAATTCTTTTCTTTTAGAAATTCAGTTACATTTTCAGCTGAGGTTGGAAATTCTGATGAAGGCACTGGTAGTAAGTTAATAACTTCACTGGAACTTAGATGAACCACTATGATCGACACGAGGTATACTTTGACCATGGTTTTTGGGAATGAATTATCTTACTGATGCGGTATGATTATGATCGCGTATTGTAGTCGTCATCTGGTTTTTATAACCGTTGTCCATTGTTATTAAGGTAATAGATGCTAACGCGTTTTGTATTGTGTCACGACGGTGGTTCTCAAAGATTTGGTATCATATTCTATTTTGTTATGGATTTTTAACCGACTTCAAAAAAGAAGGAGGCCCTCAGTTTAACCTGTATGTATGTGTCGCTATTAACTGATCCGATTTTGATGTGGATTTCAGAAATGTGTTTGCTACAATCAGGAGAAGGGTTTAGCACACTATATTAATTAACCGACTTCAAGAAAGAGGGTTTTGAAGTCGGTTTTTTACACGTAGGTGTATTTAAACTGTCTCGTTGGCCGAGCGCTCGCAAGTGCGACTGCCGGGCAAAGGGTCTCGGGTTCGATTCCCGGGACGGGCAAAGTATTACAGAGTTTTTAAAAATGTCCGTAATAGCACGGAGTCTGGAAATGTGTCCGGTATATGGCAGTAGGCTCACCCCCACCCTCGAGGCAGTCGAGGTGATGATGTATGCTATAGAAGCATGTAATGAGTATTGAAGCTCTGTAGTTTGAGAACCACTGGTGTTGCTTAGATTTCCATGTTTATAGTGTCTAGCTGGTATTGTTTTACCCCAAATAATCGACCTTAATGCATAACATACATCAGACATAAGATCATCACAGCTATTTCTAAATAAATGCATAAATTAATGTCACTAGAGTTGGGACAGTAATTGTGGAGGAGCCAGCCGCCAGCCTGCCCAGGAGCGAGGGGAAATGGGATGCCATCTCCGCCTTCTGCAAAGTAGTCATCCTAGCTAAGAAGAAGATCCGGAGGATACGGTGGAGCATACAATGGCGGTGTGCCCTGCATGGGCTGAGCACCGCTGTGTCTTCAGGGATATGATCTGCGACGGTGACCTCTCGCGTCTGGTTCAGGCCATGGTACGAAGCGCGGGGGACTGGGATGCCGTCTCCGCCTTCTGTGAAGCTGTAATGTTAGCTAAGGATGATGTGGGGCACGTGAGAGAACGTATCTCCTAACGCCCCAGCCGTCGTGGGAGACACTTCAGGCGTCGAGGATCGCGTGACGAGCTCCGGCCACCGTAGGCACGAGTCTGCAGGGCGAGCAAGAGTAACTCGTTCGATCGAAGTGCAGGAGTAGGAACGGGGTAATATTTAGTCAGTAAGAGTCTGACACTCCGTCTCCTCTCTCCCGAGGTGCGAGGAATCATTGGATCTGGATTTCAGTTCAGCTTAGGGACTGTGATCTCAGCTGTATATGTAGACAGCAGTTGTAATCTATTTAAGTCCAGGCTATCTACTGCTGGACCATATTCCTTGTTCAGAGGGTAACCATCAAATGATTCCTCTCGCCTTGGGTGAGACGAGAGGGAGTGTCAGACTCTTCCTGACTAAACACCACCTGGCACCCCGATCCCGCTCCTGATTCGAGCCGGAACTAAAACTAAACTAGCCGTACCCGGTAAACCGCAAGGTTTACAAAACCGGTTTGTTGATAATATTGCGATTTACCCAAGTATTAAAAGACTGCCCTTAGGCGGGTACACGACACCCGCGGAAAGAGTAGCGGTGGTTATAATTATAAATGAATTCTACTCAGTCGTCATCACACTAGACCATACCTAAAATCACGGGCCTGCGGACGGCGAGCATGGGTGGCGAGCACGGGTGGCTCGCCGTCCGACCAGAACCAGGCCCGAGCGTACGGTGCGTCTCGTTCCGCGCGTGCCTTAAGGAGCAATCAGACCACCACAGATGGGGCCCAACAGGGCTGATGCCGATACGAAGCCGCAGAAGACTTAACGGGTTGCCGGGGCTCCGGCTCGAGGTGCAGGTATACGAACGGGGTGGTTTTTAGTCAGTAAGAGTCTGACACTCCCCATCACCCGGGCGGGAGAAGAAATTGGATGATTTTCGCCCCTCAAAAAAAAAGACCACACATAAAATGTAATTCTACATTACTTTACATAATAGACGAATGTTTTTGTAAGAGCTGATCAATGTTTTCAAAACAAAAGTCAATGTTAGAATTTCAAAGACAATGATTTACATTGGGTAGACGAAAATAAATTGTATTACGTAGTTCATGAAATACGGAGTAGAAGGTTATAGAGTAGTTTATTAATTTAATAGTAGTTTTTGTAGTCGACTTTGCTTGTTAACGAGGTGTGAAGTAAGACTACATGAAGATAATATCCTGGCTTTTAGTCCTCGAAGACACAAAACTGAAACTCGAAAGCATTTATTTCATTAAATCATAATTTAGTACTTTTGAAACGTCAAGAAATACAAAATAAATAATCTAACAATCTGTCCGTCAGTGAAGCTAGACGCTCGTTCCAAAATGTAGATTCGAGTGGAGAAGAACGAGCAAGAAAAAGACAAAACTAACCAATTTACAAACAAACAAAGTTATCTATAAAAATATCGCAAGTATTCAATGCACACGCTTTTCAGCACTATGCAGTCTGAAAGTCAAAACACACGTGCTCTGTAACACGCCAAGAATAACACACGATCAATAAGAATGCAAGTTACAATTAATCAAACACTTTTTCAGTGAACAGCAGCTCATGTAGTGTAGATGTCCAGTCAACAAGGATGTAGCGAGGTTGACTGTCCAGGCGACACACGTACTTAGGTATCGTCATGAGCTAATGTTCACATATAAACAGCAGCTCATGTAGTGTAGATGTCCAGTCAAATATTAAGATATAAAAATGATCATAAATCCTTTATTTCACCTTAGTAAGCATTTGTCTATTTGCAGCCATCTTGGAACCGTTCCAAAGAGCACAGAGTATAAATTGCTTGTCAAAATTTAAGTATGCAGATAACAAAACTGTTATTTGAATTGCTACAGATAACGTATAATTTTAAAGCAACTAATATTAAATTTATTACTTCCTAGTTTAGTTATTTGTGAAGTATTAGAAATAGATTGGGAATTATGTTCCAACGTATTTATAAACTATGGACGTGATAAAGGTCCGCGAAAGTAGCTGTATGCAGGTCGTGCTGTGTGTGAAGGCTCTGGAGCAAGTCTCTTAGAGGACCCGGTGCCTCCATACAGGTGTTGAGGGTGGCCAGCGGGGTGGTTTTAGTGAGGTAAAAATCCCACACTCCCTAGTCTTTTATCCCCAAAAAAGCTAGGCGCCTTTAAGATTTCCACCCGTCATCAAAAACAAAAGTCTCGATGTGTAGTCATTGGGGGAAGACTGTGGGAGGCAGTGGACAGTACGTGATATAATGATATATGCAACTAATGAAGGAGTCAGTAGAATCGAAATTAGGTACACAATACTTGTAATTTTACGGGGCAAAAAGTAGTATATCCTCTTTTTTTTGCACAAATCACTACCTAAGTACATAGTATAAAACAAAGTCGCTATCCGCCGTCTGTCTGTCCCTATGTATGCTTAAATCTTTAAAACTACGCAACGGATTTTGATGCGGTTTATTTTAATATATAGAGTGATTCTTAAGGAATGTTTATAATTATGTGTAATACATGCATATTGAATCCGTGTGAAGCCGGGGCGGGACACTAGTCAAACATAATCATCACCACAACATCACGCCTTTTATCCACGAAGGGGTAGGCAGAGGTGCACATTATGTCACTTAATGCCACTGTACAATGTTACACTTTTCACTTTTTATGTTAAGAGTCCCATGTAATAGGGGATGAGCCTATTGCTGTATACCGGTCACAGTTCCGGACTCCGTGCGACTACTGAGATTTTTTTTAAACCCAGTTATACTTTGCCAGGAATCGAACCCGAGACCCCTTGCCCGGCAGGCGCACTTGCGACCACTAGGCCAACGAGGCAGTTATCAACATCAAACATATTCCTAAATTCACAAGAAACGTAGTTCGTCAGAGTAAACATTACTCTGCTTACCTCCGAAGCGTTAGTAAGATATATAAATAGTATGTATAATTATACCACAACGTACCACGACGCACATTTCACCGAAACACCATTAACTTTGATTTGAAACGTTTAACGTTTGTGTCGCCGAACCTGTGCTAAAATTGAAAATATTTTGATTCGTAATTTCAAGACTGTTATGTTGTTTAGCAAATGGGTATTTCCAAATTGATCAATAAAAACACAGCAAGGAATTCGCAACCTTCCCGGAGATCATGCGATACCCACGGGTCAACCGTATGCGTATGACCATGAACATCTGGGATGTGAGCAGCACCCGAGCTGGCCGCTGAATCAAGTTCGGTGCCAATGCAGGGGCGTCGTTGAGAGCCATGGACCGCACAATCTCCGAGAACCTAATGCAGGCGTTTAGCCCCCTAAGGTTAGGTAGGAGCCGCTCAAACACAGCCCTCGTCCGTTCCAACTTAGGAGCCAAACGCCGGAAGGGTTTACGAAGTTCCATCGACTGTCAAGGACGAGTTCTAGGGACTTCATCGTCGACTCAATGCTGACGGTAACCCATTAGCTACCTACTTCACAATATATGCCTAGAATGATAACAATGTAGAAAGGATGGTGAAAAAAGATTTACGAAAGAAGTATACAAAGCGGATAAGACCGTCGGTAGAGGGCGTGCGGAGCGAGGGGAACTGACTGGGATGTCGTCTCCTCCTTTTGCGAAGCAGTAATGCTAGGTAAGGAGGAGGCAGGACGCGTGAGGCAGCGAAGCGCTGCCTCCTCCCAACCCAGCCATTGCGAAGGACACTTCGGGCGTCGGGGATCGCGGGACGATCTCCGGCCACCGTAAGCGCGGGCTTGCGGACGACGAGCATGGGTGGCTTACCGTCCGACCAGAACCAGACCCGAGCGTACGGCGCGTCGCGTTCCCCGCGCGCCTCAAAGAGCCATCAGACCACCACGGATGGGGCCCAATAGGGTTGATGCCGATTCGGAGTCGCGGAGAACCTAACGGGGTGGTTTTTAGTCAGTAAGAGTCTGACACTCCCT